AGAGAGAGAGAGAGAGAGAGAGAGAGAGAGAGAGAGAGAGAGAGAGAAGAGGGTCTAAATAGGACAAATTCTTGGGGAATGCCTACAGTTAAGGGACATTATATTGATAATATGATGATCCAGCCAAAGGAGAATGAGAAGGATCCGACAAACAGATAGGAAGAGAACCAGATCAACTCTCTCTTCCAAGTCTCATAAACTCATAGAAATTTAAAGTCAGAAAAAGCTTTAGACAGCAGACCTCCCATTTTATCAAGAAAAAAAGTGAGAATCAGGTTATTTACCCACATTACCAACAGTAATATTAGTAGCTTATATTCATGTAACAGTTTAAGGTTTATAAAGCACATTGCATGTATGATTTCATTTCCTTTTTGCAGAAACCCTTCGAGTTAGGTAGTAAAACTGAAATTATCCCCATTTTATGGTTGAGGGAAAGTGATAGAAAGTTTAACTTTTCAGCTGCTTGTTTTGGACTGTTGAGACTTACACCATGTAAACCTGCCACAACAAACTAAATATCAAGCTACCATATTTATTTTCAATCAAAAGAAACCAATATAACATTTTAGAACTTGATGAGAGAGGACAATAGCTGAAATTTACTATAGTGCTAATATAAAGTAAGGGCAACTAGGTAGCACAGTAAAAAGAGGGCTGGGCCTGGAGTGAGGAAGACTCATCTTCCTGAATTCAAATCTGGCCTCAGGCGCTTACTAGTTTTTTGATCCTGGGCAAGTCACTTAACTCTGTTTGCCTCAGTTTCTTCATCTGTCAAATAAGCTGTAGAAAGAAATGGCAAAGCACTCCAGTATCTTTGCCAAGAAAACCTCAAATGGAGTCATGAAGTCATTCACGACTGAAATGACTGGACATCAATGAAATTTGCAAAGCACTTTAACATTATCCATTATCTGATTTGATCTTCATAATAACTCTTTGAGATAAATACTATTGTTATCTCCATTTTACAGATGAGGAAAGCGAGGTCCAGAGAGATTATGCTATTTTGCCTCTCTCCTCCATAAAGTAGGTGCTCAAAAAATGTTTGTTGAATGATTTTCAGCATCTCTCGGGTAATAATTGTTCAGGAGGCTGTTAGCCCTCTAGAAAAGAATAAGAAAATGTAGCAGTTGAAGTACTTAGGAGACAAAGCATGGTGGCTCTGCAAGAGCCATCTTAGTCCATCCCTCTCATCCGAAACTCATAAGTGTTCCTTCTAACAAGAATAATTTGTACTATAAAATCATGGTCTGGGGACTTTCAAAGTTGCCTTAATATGTGGAAAACAAGGGAGGAGCTTATGACAGATTGTTTCCTTGGCTCCAAACCTACAGATAGACAATACATTTCAATCAGGTTCGGGTTTTGTAAGTAATCCACATATTTGTGCATTCACATAGAAAGGAAATGTGGCTACAGAAAAAATGGCAGCCATTATCAGGGAGCCAATTACCTGTTTCCCAAGCATCTACGTGGCATTTGTTATTATTGAATAAAGCCAGATGTTTAAAATAAGCTGATAATTTAGATGAATGCCACATTAGGAAGTAATGGCTGTAAACATGCTACAGCCATACAGGAAAAGCTAAAATGCCTGTTTAAATTGTATTGTAACATAGGTCTTTTAAATATAAATTCCCCTGTATTCTCCCTAAATACTAACACAACTTCAAAGAATTTAAAATTGGCATTTTAACTTGATAAAAAAGCTTAATGAATTTATACTAGTTCTCTAAGCAAGGCTAAATCTACAACTTTTTAACTGTTTTCTGACTAAGGGAAGAGAAAATGGAATGCAAAATAATTCACTGACACAGATAATCATCAGAAAACCCCTTTTTGCATATAGTTCAGCTGAATCTAAAACTTTGCCAACATTGTCATTAAAACATATAGAAGGGTGGGAATTCATTTGAGGGTTAAAGATAGATATAGATATAGATTTACAGTATTCAGTCTTGCCAAAAAAAAAAAAAAAAAAGAAAAAGAGAAAGAAAAGAAAAGGCTTCTTAGCCTAGTAATGATCTATTTTTTTAAAGTTAACTATTTCTTGAAGTAATGGTATTCAAATGACAATAATCTGTCTAAAAATGGCATAAACCCTTTTTAAAAAAATTGAGCCAGCTGGATTTTAAGATTTATAGACTAAAAATAATAACAAATGTAATTTTAAAATGCTAAACACAGAATTCATGCCAATTAATGTTAATATTCTGTGAATGATAAGAATTTGTCAAGGTATACATCTAATTAAAAAAAGAAAGTTATAGTATTGCTTAGCATTATGCATAATTATTACATTTTTCAAGGTAACTTTGCATAGTAAGAATATAATGTTAAGGACCCCTCCTTAGTTTGAACTTGTAATGTCTAGAAACGTTAGAAATTTAAGCAATTTTATAATTATAAGATATAAAAAGCTCCCTAGAGCAGACCTTTGGCAGGCCTAATTTAGAACACATATCAACCCAGAACCTTTATTTTTTAACATGAGAAGTTCATCCATGGCCTAGTCAACTTTCCTTGAGATTTCCTGTATTATCCCTCTCCCATCCTTGTCTTTTTAAGAGAATACATGGGACAGACAGGGTTATGCCCTGTCCTTTCTTTTAAATAAATATATTATATTCAGTTTTTATTGAGGGTTGGGGAAGAGGGACACTGTGAGGCCATGTTCCCAATTAAAAGTGCAAAATGCTAAACTCCATTACAAAGACAGATAGGAAAGTACAACTTCATTGTTGAAAACAATTTCCCTCCTATCAGTCCAAGGATTCATGCATCAATATTGTAGATGAACTGTTAATTACAAAATCAATTAAAATTATTTCTAAAAACAGTCACGCGTCCCTGGCTCTCAGGGGGGCAATTTGGGCAGAAGGTCTCATCTCACTAGGACCGCGCCAAATCACAAAGTCGTCATCCACAAGTAAGCAAAAGCAATCTGGTTTTTCATTTTTCAGCGCGGCTGAGCCCAGCCTGAGATTGATCGTCACATATGGCCCCAGAAAACAAACTGTCAATACCTTGAATGCTGCAGAATTTGAACAAATAGCCGTCCGCCCATTCAAGCCACTCATTGCATCCCATTTAACAGATTTTATTGACAGTTTCCTTCTTGTAATTAAAGGGAAAACTACTGGCCAGCAACCAAGATAAAGTTCAAAGATAGGGTCAAAACAAAAGCAGATGGAGGGGCACGGTGTGACTGTCAATGGTACATAGCATCAGAGCATGTTATTGACACACAGGTATCTAATGATCGGCTCGTCATTAAAGAGGGATCTATCCTGAACTTTATGCAAATGCTAAAAGGGACTTAAGACCACAATAAAGCATTAGGGGAGACACAAAAGAAAAAACAACAAAGCATCAACGATTTTTTACTTATCAGACATTGCTTCCTGCTTCAGCACTTTTAAGTTTAAATGTAGGGAAAAATTCTTTCTGTAGTTCTTAACCCCTTCTACACAGGTAGTATTTTTCAGAGAACTGTGCTAAAACAAAAAGTGATTTTTCATGAAGGTTCTCAAGCTTACTGGTTTTATTTTTCATTTAAAAATGGTTAAAACTCTTATTTTTCCAACAAAATGGTAGCTGTGAGAATAAGATATCTTTTTCTCTACAGCAAACAGTCAATATGCAGGCAAAAACAGTCACATACACACATTATATGGCCAGATTATGAAACATGGGATTATGGGGGTAGAAACGATGGGCTATTAAGAGATTATCTAATCCAACCCTCATTACAGATGAGGAAACTGAAATCCCAGAGATCAAAGTGACTACTCTAGGATCACAGAAATAAGTAACAGAACTGGGATTTGGACAAATCTTTGGACTCCAAATCCACTATTTTTTCCATCGCACCATGTTGTTTTGTGAGTCAACAGAGTTAGGTCTGTGGTTATTCCTGAGGATGTCTGCCTGATGCTGCAATTAAAAACATTAATGCTCAGCAACCTTCAAAGTCTTTCAGTATGAACTTTGAAATTATCCTTTAAGTATATAAAATAGTAAATTTTGCCTGTAAGTTGAAATTCCCATTCTTAGCTTTTCAACTGTTTCCAAGCTACTTGGAGCAAAACCATGCAGAAAGAGCTAAAGGAGAGGGGAGGGAGTGGGTGACAGATGAAAAATGTAGCAACAATTATGCCATTTTGCCAACCTGAATTAGCAAGCGCTATGGCTTTGAGGGTGACAAACTCTTCTTTCTCCAGCTTCATGCTCTTGTATTTCTTTACCAGCTGCAGGATGGCATTGTTGAGGTCAAGGAGGCCTGCTAATTTGGACTGATCTTCATCCATAATATAATCTTCTGCATAGACAAGTTCATCCTCAAAAGAAAGTGATCGGTATACAACACCAAGGATCAAAATCTCCATCCAAGCACTTTGCAGAAGGCTCATCTGATCAGCCAGAGACAAAGTAGAGAAACCTAAATGGGAAAACGGGCAGAGAAAGTTACTTAAGCATGTTCCTATATATCCATAACTTTGTATTGCAATATTAACTTCATATGGTACATCAGTTATGCTTCAGTACACTATGCAATTCTTAAAAAAAGAAAAAAAAACCCTTACATTTTACACTCATCATTTTTGGAATAATAAAGTAAAAATTACAAATCAGTTTCATCTTGTTAGTGTTTTCCATAGGATTTACAGACATGGCAGGGTGGGGGAAATATAATAAAAAAAACCCCTATTTTCATATTTTGATTTGAACGTAATATATACTCTTAGATCTTTAAGTAAAAGAAGGATGTGTTTTGGAGACACTTGATTCCAGGCCAGAAAATCTGACACAGCTTTCCCTGAAGCCTCATTTCAGGAACACTTTAAACTCTATAGCTTCTGAAAGTAATGTGAAAGAAGGGGAGGGGGGAAGCATTTTGGTTCAAACAATCTGGTAAAGTTTGGAGTCATGGACTTAATGAATAAGGGAGAAGCCATATTGCTTGGGCAATCTTGTTTCCACTGATAATGACTGCGAAACAATTAATGCTGCATCTCTATATTATAAATTATGGGCAGCTAGGTGGCACAGTGGATAGAGGGCTGGGCCTTCAGGTCAGGAAGGTTCATCTTCCTGAGTTCAAATCCTGACATGAGTGTTTGATCTTGGGTAATCACTTAACCCCATTTCCTCATCTGTAAAATGAACTGGAGAAGAAAATTGTAAACCACTCCAGTATCTTTGCTAAGAAAACCCCAAATGGGGTCACGAAGTATCAGATATGACTGAAAAACAACTGAACAGTAACAATATTGTAACTTCACACAATTTTAAAAAGAGATTTTGGCCAAGAAAAACCTGTGTTTAAAATGTCTCTATATAGGAATCTGAAGCAGTTTCTTTGATCTGAAATATCTGAGCCTCCTCTATTCTCGACTTCACATTTGTTCAGGTTGACACAAACTTGTCAGCTCTCAAATAAGAGTGAGAATACATAAAAACTTTATTTAAGCATGATAAAATAAAATGACAAATGGTAATAACCCTATTAGAAGTTGGTAGTAACTGTACTTTAGGGGGAATAACTATAAAGAAGATTTTAAGAGAATATGCTTGATCAATAACCAGCTAGATGCTGGAGTCCTAGAAAAGACCTGCTCCTCTTTAGATGCCACCATTATGTATGGTATTTTCAGGAATTTAACAGCAAATAGCACTGTATATTAGAGAGATCCGTGAAGTGTAATTCTGTGGTGATTTTTTTTCTGAACAGAATAATAATAATAAAAAACCCCAGAGTACTATACATTAATAAATATGCATCTGTCTCCTTTTCTTGACACTTTCCAACAAAATCACTAAAGAAATAACTCTATACCCTTCATTTTCCATCAAGTTAACATTTCTTGCCAATCCTGGTTTTCTATAAAAAATTGGTAGTATCCTCAATAACACTTTGGAGTTACAGAACAATAGGCAAAAATAAATGATTTCTTGGCTGTAGTGAAAGCCTAGCTGTTTGCCCTTGGCACCATTAACCATAAGTACTTAATAAAATCATCAAAGGGGATTAGTCAAGCTTTTCTTAAGGGGAGGTCTTTAGGCATGTATAGAGCTTTTATTTGGTTGTTTATGAAGCTTACATGTGCTTGCACAAGGCACTTTCTCAATTGGTTGACTAAGTCTAATTTTTTTTCTTTTAATTTGGGGTCATCTTTAGCCCAATAAAAAGTAAAATTAGTATATCCCAACACTACTAACCCTGTATTCCTCAGGCTTGAAGGGGGATTCTTCAAACAGACTGATTTTAAACAGAGATTCAATGCATAGGTGCATTTCCCTCCCTGGAACTGACCTAATGCCACTTGATTTCATTTTTCACTGCTGATTGCTAAACCCATAAAAGGTAACTCACTCCTATCTACTACTCACCAAAACCCCCGAAAAAAATCATTCTCCATGTTCATCCAAAATCTAAGGCTAGGAAAAGGCCAAGAAGGAATAGGAAGTGACTATTTTGATTAAGGGGCAAGAGAATAAATGATCCACAAGGTTATATACACGAACAGAAATATACATCGTCTTCCTTTTCCTGTTTCTTTTCATTCTCCCAAGAACCAGTTTTCCTGCAGCAGCAGATGGACAGAATGTAGCCTGCAGCACCTTCTTGTGACAGCCCTATTCTCCCTCGCAGACACTGCTGTTACTAAATAGATTTACACATTCTCCAATCTCCACACATCTTTCTGCCGAATAATTAAAAGCAGGATGATTAGTTTATTGAGTGGAAGGAGGAACTTTTTTATTGAGGTCCATCCACGATTTTATCAGGGCCAGCACTTTTACGGTTGTCAGGAGGGTGCAGGCATCCAATTTTTCTTATCTGCCTGATTAATACAAACGCTGTTTCAGGACGCATTAATTAACAGATACAAATCTACGTTCTCATGGAAGGATCAATACAGAGAAGAAAAGAGGCATCAATGTGAATTTAGTGCTGATGATGGAGAAGGCACTCTATTGACATTTACGTGCATGGAAACTTTAGAGTTGCACTCCAGCCTCTTTGTCCCTGTGATTTACAAATTAACAATTTTTCAGCCATAACAATGTTTCACACATTTCTGTTGGGTTTAATTAAGCAAAAAGCAATAAAATCAGTTCTGATTTTTTTTTAAGGTGAACCTACAATATCTTGTGTCAATAGCTGTTTTTCTTCCCTCCTGAAAACTTAGAAGATTCCCCTTTGCTGCCCTCCCCCTCCCCAACAACTCCTACTCCTCTTTCACAAAAACAAAAACAAAAACAAAAAAAAGGAAGAAAAGAATAAAAGCAAAGTTGGGGCAGGGGGAGGAACCAGATAAGTTTTTCTTTTTTTGGATATAGCACAAAAAGGCTAGGACAGATCTGATGATGTGCTCAATTCTATTTCTGAAGACTGAAGATAATGTAACTTTTGCAAACTGTTTTAACACCATAAAACTTCCAAGAAACAGTACCAAATACTTCTGTGCCTCTCTGGTTAGAAATAATATATTCTCAAACACCCATTTTAACCCTTTAACTTCATGCTTCTTGGAGCAATGAAAAAGGCCTTTTGCTTAAAGGACTACTACATGCCTCTGTCACCGCAGAGGTTAAAAAATCCATTTCAGTTTTGATTTTAATTTTGTGTGCTGCTTCTCCATTCTTTTGCACAGGATGGTATATTTGATTTCAACTAAAAAGAAGCAGAGATTAAATAACCTTTTTGTGAATAGGGGGCTAGGCAACAGCTAGAAGCCTGCAGCATGAAGGAGAATGGACTTCTCATTAAGTTGTGCCCATTCCACTCTTACTATTCCTCAGAAAATGTGATTATTTTGATCAAAGATAAATTTTTCTACAATGTTAATTATACATGGCATACTTCACAACACCTACTACTAGATCAGAGATGCAAGTTTGAGAACGCGGTCATCTGAAATATTTATTTTCTACAGACAGAAACCAATTGCTTTCCTTTGGCAATGGCTGAATTTCAGGTTTTGCACAGCATCCTATCTTAATCTTCGGCCTGTGACAGGTTATAGTTTTAAATGTTCAGCTGTATTACAGAATTTTAAAATACACCGATATTGTGGCACATTTCTTCTTCCCCAGCAACGGACTATTCCATGCATATTGGTGACAATTCTGATCTCTCTTCATCTCCCTCCTGGAGTCAGTGCCATTTAATGTATCTGAGGCATTTTGCTCCCAGAATGACTCTGTACCTTGACCTGCAGTTAAATAGAATGTTTATCTACAATACAGTGTGCTCCAAATAAACCAGATGACAGTTGGGAATAACATCATTTGGAGGGATTGAAAAGCTTCTCAAGAGTCAGGTACCCCTGAGGTAATAGGCTTGAAGGAGGCATGTTTTGTGCCAACCCTTCTACCATCTTCTACTAGAAGCTCATGAGCTTGACAGTGATGCCATGGGCATTTGTCAAGTACATTTTTTTTCAGCCTGGCAAACTGATGCACTTTGCAGTCAACTTACAAAAAAGGCTAAGCATTTGAAAGTGTGAAGGGCAAAAAATATCTGACGGCTAGTCTTCAAAAATACACTTTCATTTCAGAAAGCATAAATGTTTATTTCCTGAGCTGAGTGTTGACAGAAATAGGCTGCAGTGCAGGCATATGAGTTTAACCCCTACTGGGCATTCTTTTCTCTACTGCTTTCTCAAACTAGAGTACTAGCATTTTAAATCTTTGGGGTGTCTGCTAAGATCAGTTAATCATGGCATTGACTTGCCCATTCACAGTTTTTTGACTGTAGTTTTTCTGTTCCACTTAAAATTGACACTTTCCAACAAATACATATCATACTAGAATTGTAATTATGCTGTAATGACTCACTAAGATCACTAACGAAGTGCATTGAGAGAGAGCTGATTGAACTTGATTCTTTAAATAAACCCCATCCAAATAAACCTGATGTTTACAGGGGGTAGAAAGAAAAGAATGACAACAGCATTGCAGTCTATTGCAGCTATTGTGACATGCTCTGATACAAATGGAGTTAAAGGTTCTCCAAAACCCAGTTCCAGATTCACTCTGCCTTTCAAAGCCCACTGCTCTTTTCAAATATCAGCCGATGTACCACTTCTGGTCTCTTTCACGTAGTGCACAGTTGTGGGCTAAGAAAGGTATAACGTTTATTTTCCTGAAGACTCTTCCTTTCCCTTTCCTTCATTAAGATGGACTTCATGGACTCCAACTCACTAGGGGCTAGAATTAAGCAGCTGCAGATGGTTAAGTGCCAAAATGAGAGCTATAAGAATATACATAGTGATATGCAAAGTATTTTATGTAAAAAAAAAAAAAAAACATCAATTGTTTTGACAGAGTCAATGACTGCCTACATAAATTATTTTTGCTCTTGAGCATTTGTGACATGCCACCCAAGCCACTCCTTGAATCCTTATTCTCCCAGTCTGACCATCCAGACTC